AGAGAGAGAGAAGAGAGAGAGAAGAGAGAGAGGAGAGAGAGAGAGAGAGGAGAGAGAGAGAGAGAGAGAGAGAGAGGTGTATACAAGTAGAGGAGAGAAGACAAGGACAACTTGCTTCAACAAGGTCGAAAAAGAAGGAAGAGAGATAAAAACGAGGAAGGACATGACAAACCTTGAAGTTTATCATCATGCTCCATGTTTTATGAATCTTCAAGTTTTAGTCCTGATGGAGTATCATACAGGTTTTTTTTATTTCCTCATTTCTGTAAGCAAGAAAATTTATCCGAATCCTCTTACAAATTCAAATTCTTAAAAAAGAAGGCGAAAAAATATAAATAGAATAACCGTATCGTGATTTAGACCAATACCAGCTAACGGAAAAAATCGTATCCGCTGGCACTTTCGTCCCCAAAGGAGTAAAACTTGTCAGTTTCCGCTTTGGGGTTTTCAAGGGAACTACGATGGCGACTCGAGATTATGCAAGACTATTAGACGTGGGAGAAAAAAGATAATTAGATGTGGAATTATACAATATATGCATATATTAAAACAACGAGTGCACATACTTTACACGCGTACATTCAAACACACACATTCGCACAAGCACAAACACACACGCATTCACACAAACACACCCATTCGCACTAACACAAACACACACACACATTCGCATAGACACAAACACACACATTCGCACTAACACAAACACACACATTCGCACAGACACAAACACGCACACATTCACACAAACGCACACACACATTCACACAAACACACACATTCGCACTAACACAAACACACACACACATTGGCACAGACACAAACACACACATTCGCACAAACACAAACGCACACATTCACACAAACGCACACACACATTCACACAAACACACACATTCGCACTAATACAAACACACACACACATTCGCACAGACACAAACACACACATTCGCACAGACACAAACACGCACACATTCACACAAACGCACACACACATTCACACAAACACACACATTCGCACTAACACAAACACACACACATTCGCACAGACACAAACACACACATTCGCACAAACACAAACGCACACATTCACACAAACGCACACACACATTCACACAAACACACACATTCACACTAACACAAACACACACACACATTCGCACAGACACAAACACACACATTCGCACAGACACAAACACGCACACATTCACACAAACGCACACACACATTCACACAAACACACACACACAAACACGCACACATTCACACAAACGCACACACACATTCACACAAACACACACACACATTCGCACAGACACAAACACACACATTCGCACTAACACAAACACACACATTCGCACAGACACAAACACGCACACATTCACACAAACGCACACACACATTCACACAAACACACACATTCGCACTAACACAAACACACACACATTCGCACAGACACAAACACACACATTCGCACAGACATAAACACGGACACATTCGCACAAACGCACACACACATTCACACAAACACACACATTCGCACAGACACAAACACGCACACATTCACACAAACGCACACACACATTCACACAAACACACACATTCGCACTAACACAAACACACACACACATTCGCACAGACACAAACACACACATTCGCACAGACATAAACACGCACACATTCACACACACAACACATTCACACACACACACATTCGCACTAACACAAACACGCACACAATCACACAAACGCACACACACATTCACACAAAACACACACATTCGCACAGACACAAACACGCACACATTCACACAAACGCACACACACATTCACACAAAACACACACATTCGCACAGACACAAACACGCACACATTCACACAAACGCACACACACATTCACACAAACACACACATTCGCACAGACACAAACACGCACACATTCACACAAACGCACACACACATTCACACAAACACACACATTCGCACAGACACAAACACGCACACATTCACACAAACGCCACACACATTCACACAAACACACACATTCGCACAGACACAAACACGCACACATTCACACAAACGCACACACACATTCACACAAAACACACACATTCGCACAGACACAAACACGCACACATTCACACAAACGCACACACACATTCACACAACACACACATTCGCACAGACACAAACACGCACACATTCACACAAACGCACACACACATTCACACAAACACACACATTCGCACAGACACAAACACGCACACATTCACACAAACGCACACACACATTCACACAAACACACACATTCGCACAGACACAAACACGCACAACATTCACACAAACGCACACATCTACCAAGCAACCTAACAAGCAAACGATCTCTTTCACTACCTTTGTGAGCGCGTGTGACTGCGTTTGCGTGTGTCGAGGTGCGCGTGTATATATTTTTACACAGGCGAGGAATCATTTCTTGCGTAATAAGACAAAGAGCGGAAGTGACTCAAGGGTCTGTACAGTTGTGATGTATAACTGAAGTGATCACTCTCATGAGACAAACGTGATTCTGCACAAACGATACTCTTTGATCACGGTTATTCTCGCGGAAGAAATAAACTAAAACTATGTTGCTAAACATTCAGGAAGAAAAAATAGAAACGGAAAAAATTGTTATGATAGATGGAAGAAAATCAAGAGGGTGTGCTTCCTTCGAACTCAAAGAAAAATGTCTTTATGAGGAGTAATCTTGAACAAAGCGCACCAATTATAGTAAAATCTTGCAAAATTCTGGTAACAATCACGGTCTAAATATCCTCACTTTTTTTCTCCTGAAGAATTAAAAAAAGAAGACAAAGAAGCAACGAGAATTAACAATAAAGATGACACTAACAATAATTCGCAATTCTTTTTGGTTTTAATTCTACACTGAAAAGACCACCTTACTGCGCATTTCGTAAGCCACGCCCCCTTGTTCTCTTCTCACACCGGTTCCCTCAGTGTACAATAGGGCATCCGGGACACTGTGACCTCGTAATGCCGGCAGACCACGCCCATCATCCAACGTGCCCAGTCACCACTCATGCCCATTTATTTTCTTTTGCTTTTACATGATTAGGATGGAGTTTGTTTGTTATGTATGAGCCTTCAGGCTAGTACAGTGGTAACGTGCCGTCCTCTCATCCGAGGGGTCGGCGGTTCGCGCCCCGCCCAGGCGCGAGAAGTTGCAATTGTCGCTCGGAGGTTACTGCTGTGGCTGGGCACCGCGGTGGGTAAGGACTAAGCTCTGTCGCGTCAGCACTCGCTGACACACGTTGATCGAGTCGACATTAGTCGGCACAGGCCGGGCTCCCCCATAGCCCGGGCGAGGCTCAGCTTCGCATATCGGACTTATCCTTATCCTTGTTATGTATTTTCATATTTTTGATTTATGGAACTAATGTTTTAGGACCCTTCTTCCTATTCTTAATCTGCAGTTATTATTTTCGTGCGTTTATGTTTATCTGTGCTTATTGCTCTTGATATTAATTACTATTGTCCGTCTACTGCTTTTATTGCTACTATTACTACTACTGCTACCACCACTACTACTACTACAACTACGATTACTACTATTACTATTACGATTACTACTACTACTACTAATACGATTACTACTACTACTATTGCTACAACGACTACTACTACTACTACGATTATTACTACTATTATTACTACTACTGCTACTACTACTACTACTGCGACTGCTACTACTATTACGATTATTACTGCTAATATTACTACTATGACTACTACTACTACGATTATTACTACTACTACTACTTCTACTGCTGCTGCTACTACTGTTCCTACAATAACTACTCATCTTACTCCTAGTCCTTTTACTCCCCTTCCAACTCCATTGCTACTGCTATTACTACAGCAACTACTACTACTACTACTACACCACAACTACCGCGGTCACTGCCACCACCTCAACCATTATGGCCCCAAAACCGCTTTCATCACCACAAGCTCACCAACTCAAAGAACCCTTCCTTCCCCAGGCATACCGGAAGGACAAGAGCAAGATGGTGCAGGTGGCGCGTATGGTGTGCATCACCGTCCTGGCAGCCGCCTTCCTCATCGGCTTCTTCACCGTCACCTCTCAGTGGATCAACAACAGGACCTGCGACTGCGAAAAGGTGGGCGCGGGAGTGAGTCGCTTCCGTTGGATTGCTGCGTGTGTGTGTCTGGTGTTGCGGATTCTTGCTGCGCGGGATTTTGAAGTGGGATGGCCCGTGTACATGTCTTTTTATATTTATTCGTATATGCATCGATGAGCGTATGTGTGTGTGTGTGTGTGTGTGTGTGTGTGTGTGCATACATACACATACTCATATATATTCATGCATACATACACGCATGCACGTACACAGATATGTGTATGTATGTATGTATGTATATATATATATATATATATATATATATATATATATATATAAACACATATATACACACATTCATTCATGTATGAATGAATGTATGCATGCATTGTGTATATGTGTGTTTGTATTTATATGTAATATATATGTATATATATATTTCACAACACACACACACACACACACATACACACACACACACACAAAGCACACACACACACACACAACACACACACACACACACACACACACACACACACACACACACATACACACACACATACACACACACACACACACACACACACACACACACACACACACATATATATATATATATATATATATATATATATATATATATATATATATATATGTATATATACACACATGTATGTGTGTGTGTGATCATATGTATGCATGTATGTATGTCATAGATTGTCTTCCAACGTCTTTGTCTGTTATTAAGGCCCTGTATTTCTTGTCTTCCACTCACAACCTCTGACATTCTACAACCCCGCGCATGACTCAGCCGCAATCAGCCACTTTCACCGGCCGATCCAGCAACTCACTCTGGACTAAAAAAAAAAAAAAAAAAGAAAAAAAAAATGGAAAATAAACCTTCGTCCTCCAATTTCTTCCCACTTTTTTTCTAACGACGCCCCCCCCCTTCAGGCCGCCCACCACCACATGCCGGAGCACCTGACCGCCGCGAGCTTCGCCGGGTTCCCTCGCGTGGAGCCCCTGGTCGGCCTCGACAACGACAAGATTGACCAGAGAGTCACCAATAGCCTCGACGCCGGAGATGACACAAGCCTCTCCAAGGTCGACCTCGAGGCTGAGGCCAAGCCGGAGATCAACAAGGTAGAGCAGAAGGTCGTCGAAGAAATCATTCCTCAAGAGGTCAGTCTGGGTTAATCGAATTAGTAGCTTGATATAAATTTTATGCCGTGGAAGAACTCAATCGAATTAGTAGTTTGATATATTTTTTTATGATTCTATATGATTAGATTGATAAATCAATTGATAATTTATTCAAGGAAGACGCAACTTTGTTCAAAATCCATGACAGCAGATGTTGCCTTAGTCATGTCTAACCCTTTTTCTTATTTCATTTTTCGTGTGTGATGTTTTCGATATTATGCTTTCTAAGTATGGACTCTGAAAAACCCTGGCTGAAAATTATTATCAGTCATAATAAAATCAGCCAAAAAATGTTTAGACCAATAGCACCGTCAACCCAACACATCCTAAGGGTTCCCTGTTATTTAGACGTCTATTACTTCTATCCCGTTACCCGTCTGATACCTCACTCCCCCTCTTGCTGTTACTCTAAAAATAACACCAAAAAGATTGAGGAAGTCGAGGCCGTGGTGGACGAGGTGGTGCACGAACTGGAGGAAGAAGAGGAGGCCATGGAGGAGGAGCGCCTCGGCCTCCAGGACATCATGCGCGCGCAGATGGAGGAGATGAAGAAGAAGATCAAGCTGCCCATCGACCTCATCCTCGGCAACCCGGCTCTGGTAAGGCTCTGAGGAGATAGAAGCGATGGAGTAGATACATGCTGGGATTGATGGGTGGATAGTTAGATTGCCTGATGAATTTAAGCATAATGTACTTAGTGGATAAATATATTGATGAATAGATATAAACACACACACACACACACACACACACACACACACACACACACACACACACACACACACACACAAGGCGATACAATTGCACACCCACACTCAGATTAATACCTTTATGAGCCAACGCCACCTACTTCCCTCCCCCAGGCCGGCCGCGACGTCAACTGCGAGGTGGAGCGGCGCAGCAGCCCCTCGGCCCCGGCCTCGTCACGCAGGCCATCATCGTCACCTGCCACGACAACGACGACGCCGAGGAGTCGCAGGAGATCGTCCCCGACCTGCCCCTCGTCCCCCCGCAGGGCGCCCGTCGCATCTCCCCTCCTCTCTCCCTCATCGCCCCCATCATGAAGATGCTGGCCGCCCGCGCCCGCGCCCGCTCGGACCGCCCACAGCCCCAGATCTTCCAGGCTTCTAACAACGGCCCCTTCCCCTTCCCCTGCTCCCCTAACGGACCCTTCCCCTGCCCCTCCGGCCAGCCCAAGCCCATCATCACCATGAGCGGCCCTTTCATTCGCAAGGAGATCGTCATGAAGGCCCCCGCGCCAGTCATGAAGTCCCCCGGTCCCATCAGCGGCCCCATCAGTGGCCCCATCAATGGCCCCATCAGTGGCCCCATCAATGGCCCCATCAGCGGCCCCTTCCCCGGCCCCCGCCCCAGCCCCTTCAGCGGCCCCATCCCCGGACCCATTCCTATGCCCGGCCCCATGCGAGGCCCCATCCGAGTCCCCTTCGGCGGCCCCCTGTCCAGCCGCATCATCAGCGGCCCCCTGCCCATCCAGAGCCGCCGAGACGGCCCCTTCCCCTTCGGCGTGCCCCGCCCCATCCCCCTGCCCGCCTCCCAGGCCCTCTCTAAGCCCCAGGACGAGGAGGACGAGGAGCCCCGCCACCGCATGCTCCCTTTCCCCTTCCGTCCCGCCGTTCGCATGAGCCCCCGCTTCCTCCCCATCGTGAACCTCTCTCCCCCCGCCCCTGAGCTCAGGAATCCCCCCGTCCCCATCTCATCCCTGCGCCGAGGAGCTGTCAAGATCGAGGATCTCCCCAGGCCACTCCCCGAGGCCAAGGGACGCGCCCTCTCCTCGCCCGTCCCCCTCAAGTTCCTTCCCGGACGCCTCCTCAACAGCACCCCCTGTAAGCATCCTCCTCTGATATTCATGTTTTAGAATAGACATAATGCAATTACTCTGCCAAAAAAACGGTTCAGGATATTTCTAATTTTTGAATATGTCCCCCATTCGTGCTTCGGAATACATATAATTACTCTATTCTTTAAACTCTGTCTAGTTTAACCCAGAAGGAAGGTCGTCTCACCCGATGCCCTTTCCTCCCGCAGTCCTGATGACGTCGAAGCGCACGCTGCCCCCCCGCCCCGTCACCCACATGGAGATGCAGGCCGAGCCCAAGAAGGACGACCCGATGCTCCACATCAAGGACTTCGGGCC